GACAATATCATATTCTTATGACAACAAAAATTAAGTGAGCCAATGACAGAACTGCAATCAGATCAGGGGACAGAGGTCTTAGTTACGGGTGGACTATGTAATCGTTCCTAACTGCTTTAGTAATTAGACTATGCAAATAAAATAAATATTAATCAGGGATTGAGCAAAGCCAGGTCATAGTACCTTCAGCTAGCAGAAGGGACTGGTGTTGAGTTTACCTGGGTTATCAATAGAAGTTAAACCGGTAGATCATATAGCCAATAACAGGGGTAGTATACAAATGGCATATAATGAGCCTCTGTGCAGGAGTAGTACATGGTTACTTGCGTTTTCTTCACTAGCATCTGTAAATAATTCAAGTGTATATGAACCTCTGTTGTCTACTCTGGTTTGCCTGTTGCCATAACTGCTGGAAAAACAGAGGCCTTATTTGTGCCTTTTATTATGGGGCTAAATATAAGGGCTCTTGGGTATTTTGAAATACTAAGATTACAAATAAGCTCTTTCTGTTATTATTGTGTGTTCAGCAAGTAACCTTTTGATTATAACTTGCCTTCACGTATAGCTTGAATTTAGGAGGAAGCACACTGTTCAGAGGACTTCAGCATCTGGATCACTTGCCAGGTGTTTTTCCCAATGTGAATGAGCCAATACTGTGGTCTGATCATCCATTTCAGTGAGTTCAGTTGAAGGTGAATCTATTTGCAGGCCAGTTTACTTGGAAGTGGTCATGAGTCAGTCTTCTAAGCTTAGGGTCATGCACTGTGGCAGATCAACAAGGCAGTGGCACCCTGGTGAACCAGGCCTTTCTCTAGTAACATCTCCCTGTCACCAGACACTGTCTCTTTACCCTCACTTCTTTACCTAGCTGCAGGATGCAGGCACACTCAGTATATTGTATTACTTAGGAGCATGGGTTTAGAACTAAATAGAACTACAGTCAGTTTCCAGCTCTGCCATATATTAGGTATATGAACCTGAGCCAGTTTCTTATACTTGGAGCCATGTTTTTCTCATCTGAAAAATGAGGATAACACTACCTTTTTTATTAGGTTCTTATAAGACTTAAAAAAATAATGTGTGTAAAGAGTTTAGCACAATGTCTGTCAGCTGTGAAGTACCTTTTCTCACTTATACTTCAAGTCTCACGCATATAGAGAACAGGTTAGATTAAATCGTTTCAGTATTCCTTTGTACTTGGATATTCTCACTACCCTCATACCTCCTGACCATGATTTTATATTTTCATCAATGGTCTCACCATCCTTATAGTCTCCCACACTAGAAACATAAAAGCCCCATTTCCTTCATTCCTTTCCCCACCTTCTACATATAATCAATTATTAAGTCCTGTGAAGTTACCATAAATGTCCCTAGAATCTACCTTCTCTCCATTTTTACAGTCATCTCCAGGCTAGACCACTGGCAAACCTCCTTTCCTTGGGTCCTAGCTTTCCATGTATCTTCTCTATTGCTGCCAAAGTAATCCTGTCCCCAAACAAACCTTAGTACTTTGCTCCCATGATTAAATAGCTGCTTTTTTACTACAGTGTTCCACCTAAACCACTGACCCCAAGGTTCATATTCCTCTGGTCCTTAAGAACTTCTCTGGAATCTGCCCTACCACTTCCCCTCTGAGGACCTATTCTCCAGCTCCCCTGTATTTTCTGCAGTTGTCCAAACCTACTAGGTCCATACATGAACTTGGGGGCCTATGCTCCCATGTCTAGTGATCTTTCAAAGCTCACATCAAATACTGTCTCTGTGAAAGACTTTGTGACTTCCTAAACAGTTAAAGCCATTTTTACTTTACTATCCATGTTCCCACCACGTTCTGTTCATACCACAAGTAGAGCACTAGTACAACCTGCTTAGTAACACCATGTCCTCGGGAGTCAAAATTCCTAGGTTTGATGCCCTGACTCCATTAAGTAATAACTACTTAACCTGGCAGGTTATTTAGACTCTTTAAGCTTTTGTTCCTCCTCTTATAAAAAGATATGGGATAATAACCTACTGAAGACATTGTGGGGAGAATTCAGTGAGTTAAGCCATTAAAATGATTAGCATAGTGTTGGTGCTAATACCAAGTGATTTAATAATATTGGCTTTATTATTTCTGTAGTATTAACTACTTACATGTCTGTCTTCTCCATCACATCATAAGCTGCTCTCAAGAAAAAAATAAACCTCTTATTCCTTAGTGCCACCAGCACTTAGGATAGTGCCAGATTCATGCAGGCCAAATCAAAATCTTCCTTTCCATTAAGAAATATCCACAGATTTGAGATAATTTCAAGTATAATCAAGACAATCAAAATAATGTTTTACACTTGGGTACACTTTTATATGAGCTAATGCTAAGGGCTTGGCTATTAACTCCATGTTAATAGATATCTACTATTGCTTGGTGATGTCAATTATTCCCAGAACTTCAATTCCCATCTATATGTAGACAGTGCTCACCTCTAAAGCTCCATCCCCATATGCTCTGTAAGATCCAGATCGATATATTAAGGAGCTATCTATACATCTGCTCTTAAATGTCCTATGAATATCCCAAACTTAACAAATCTAGACCTCAGCTTGCTATTCTACCATAGAATCTTCCCTGCAAATGATCCCCATGTTAGGAGATTACATCATCTGTTACTCAGGTTGGGAATCTGGGAATAAAGCCCCACTTTCCTTGTCTTCTCTGACCATTTTTACCCTCCCTATCCAGCTTCTAGCTCCTTTCTTTTTCCTAAATTATTTTTTCAATCATTTTTTTGTTCCCATTTCCATCTCTTGTGCAAGCTATCATTATGTCTCATCTACCACTACTCTTGTGCAAGCTATCATTATGTCTCATTTACCACTACTCATGTAAGCTATCATTATGTCTCATCTACCACTACTCCTGGCCTTTCCCCAACCCACATGGCAGCCGGAATGATCTTCTTAAAATTACACAGGTCATCAAGCCGGTGTCCCTAACTCTTATGGGTCCTACAGCCCTGGCCAAACTGATCTCTGCCTCTCTCTGGCCTCAATTTGTGCCTCTCTCCTCCCTGTCTCCATGCCTTGGCCTGCTGGGTTTCTTTCAGTTCCCTGAATTCATCCTGTCTCTGTCCACTCCAACTATTCCCTCTACCTGGAATGTTTTTTTTTTTTTTTTGGTCTTTTTACCCAGCTAAGTCCTATTCATTCTTCAGAATTCAATTTTAAAGTCCATTCTCCAAGGAGGTACTCCTAATTTCCAAGCCTAAGCTATATGTCCTTGCTATATATTTTCATAGCACCATGCACATTTCCTCAACCACTCATCACTTTTAGTTTTTTTATTCAATGTTTGGTCTTACCTAAACTATAAGCTTCAGCACTAGAATAGGGGCTGAGACTCTCCTGTTCATCCCAAAGCCAGGCACTGAGTATAGGGCTTTGCATGGAGTAGATGCTCAATTAATACTATTAAATTGTGTAAAGTGTTGATTGTTTGAATCTCTAAATCCATGACTCATTCATTCAGTTCAAATATGTTTTAACTTCCAAAATAATTGAGTACCTTGTTTTTACTATATGTTATGCTACTTGAATAAATCTATCTAATTCTATATCTTCATTTACCTCAGTAAAAAGTAATATATAGATCAAATAAAAATTACATAATGTTTTCTTACTAAGCCAAGCTTTATGGTAATAGGTATTAATGGATAATGCAACATTTGCTAGCAAAGTAACAAATTTTGTTTGAAACAGTAACATTTTCATAGGAATGGTATCTAGTATAAAACCTTTATACCTGTCCCAAACTTGTAATACTTCGGCTAAATGGACTACTAAAAGTTTTACATTGCAGAAAACCCTATCCACTGGCTTTACAACAACAGGATATCCACCTATTCATTTCTAGATGTAACTGAATTATTTTACTTTACTTTAATCCAGCAAGGAAGGTAATAGGACTCTGAAGAGAGGTAAAAAGAAAACAAAAAGAGATATAAAAAAGAGATAAAGAATTGTGGTTTGGGGGGGCAGAGCCATGCTAAAAACCAAAAGAGAAAGGGGGAAAATATCTGTAGATTAAAAGCAATTTAAGTACAAAAAAAACAAAACAAAGGAAGGAAAAACCTAACGTTACCATTCTCAGCCAAGATGGTAAAAAGCCTTTATATAGACTCATGAATCCTTCTCCTTGAACAGCCTGAACCAAGCAGTCAGTTGATGATTTATACAAAAGTCCCCTAAAGAGGAAAGAAGACAGTTTTGCTAAATTTCTTGTGTATAAACAGATGTACAAATAAAACATAAATTAAAAAATAATCTAAGGAAACTTACTATAATAAGGAGACGTAAGCATTTTCTGCTAGTTTAGAACAAATAATATTTGTGGTTCAATATAAATAATTTTTTTTTTGAGCTTAAAGATAATTTCTGGTGTCTAAGGTTGACGCTTCGGATTCATCCCACCCTTAGTCTCATACTTAGAATTCACTCCACCTGGTCTCTTCCAGAGAGAACATACTGTTTTATATCAAATCAAATTCTCCATATTACCTGTAAGTCATAAGCTTCTGAAGAAAGTGCTCTGTAAATTCTCAGCAGAGTATATTTTCATAAACTCTTTGAAAACAATAAAATCACAATAAATACCTTGTGTCTAAATAATATGATCATTAAATTAGCTTATATCCCCAAATGCACAGTACTTTTCCATCAGACAAAGAGCAGGTAATGACATAAAAGTAGTTTGCTGGCTGAACACATGGACACACAGATACACTTCTATCAAGAATAAACACAAGGAAACATTTTTAAGGAACCTTATTGTTACAGACATTTGAACACATGGAGAGTGTAGACTTACCTTCCTTGTTTATCTCGTGGTTGATTCATTATTCGGCTTTTGATGACATCAGCAGGTGTTCCCAGAATAGAAGCTACCAGTCCAGAACATAAACTATAATGAATTTGAAAGATAATAAATATAACAACTTCTAAATTGTAAGAAAAGGAAATTTATATATTTAGAAAGAATGGAATACTAAATATATTATAGTATTCTCCATAATAATCTTATTTTAGCTTAAAATCAATGCTTAATGAAGTCATTAAAGAGGTAGAAAAAATAAAAACTAAAAAGAATGTCCAGTCAACAAATATACACTGAACACCTACTGGTGGCAGGCACTCTTCCAGGTACTGAAGAGGATACCGACGATCAGGCACTTACTTGGGAAGAGGCAGAGAAGAAAGGAATAATTTCAGATGCTGATAAGTACCAAGAACAAAACAGAATGGGATAGTGTGATGGGGCATTACTGGGTGACACATGGTTGTGGAAAGGCTCTTGAGTGGCAGCAGAACTGAGACCTGAATGGTGGAGGAGCAACTGTCTAAAGACATGGAGGAAGAATGCTGCAGGCAAGACAATCAGCCCAGTGAAAGCCCTGGGTCAGAAATGCCCTTGGTGTGGTGAAGAGACAAAGCAGTCAACGCGGCCATGATGCCCTGAAGGACTGAGTCCAGCCAGATGAGAGACTGAAGAAGCAGGCAGAGACCAGCCAGTGAAGGCTATTGAAGGAGTCTGATTGTATTTTAGATGCAAATAGAAGTCACCAAAAGGATGTTAAGCTGGAGAATCACCTACTTTGGTTAATATTTAAGAAACAAAAAATTTACTCTGACCACTGTGTACGCCTCACTTCACTAAGCTATTCCATTTGAAAATAATCTTACCTTCTTTTTCCCATCCTAAGGGATCTAGGATACAAGTCCAACTGTGTCATTTTTCCGTACTTAAAGCTAAGACTCATTTCCTGTTACCCGATTTAGCTCATATACTGTGTCACACATATTACTCCAAGATCACCTCTCTCTTCGCCCACTATGCTCTAACCATATAACTAAGGTAGCTCTCTGTGCTTACATACTATGCAACACCTCCATGCCTGCACCCCCATCTAATTGGAAAATTCCTGTTTTTCCTTCAATTGATGCTGAGGCCTAAGGGCTAATGAGTTTGTTTATCCCTTCTCCCTTTGTCCAAAAAGGTTAAGCACTCTTTCTTGAAAAAGGTTATCAGTTACTCAGAACAGACAAAAATGGATGTGGTCAACCTGCAGAATAAATCGATATTCTGTAAATGAGTGACGAAAATGTTAAGAAATCACTAGCAGTTCATTATAAATGTGGCCATGAGAGGCAACATGGAGCATAAATTTCCATAAACCGAAAACCCACAAACTGCTTTAAACTTTTCCACAAGAAAGTGGAGACAAGAAAAGGGGTGGTCAACCCAAGTCAAAGAGAATGAAGTCCCACATCCCAGAAGCTGAGTCTGCAGACTAGGATCAAGGCAGTCTGAATAACAGCTTATGTTTGGCTAATGGAAAGCTGGAAAGGAAAATTGTGGAAAACTTTTTGGTCATTCCAGGATATCAAATACCTCACAAAAATAAGGACCACCAACTTCTGTGCCAAGGCTTTTGAAGTCTCTGAAGGGAAAGTTGAAACTGCCTTAGGAATCTTTATACTCTCTCTTATTTTCAACTGCTGTAGCAAAAAGTACTGAGAATCTTGTTGACCTCTTTCAGGCCAGGATTTATAATTCAAAGCAGAAAATTACTTTAGCAGTACTTGAATTCAAGGGAAGGATCCCATACAATCTATTTCATATTACAGCAAATGACCCAGCTGTGTATATCACATTCTTAGGTCTCTGTCCACATAACAGGCATTGTCTATGTGAAAAGAGCTCTTTTTTCACCATGTACATCACTACTGCTCTTTTTATACTCTTTCCTATTAGGTCAGGTTCTTTGAAGGTTTAATACCATTGATTTCAATATACCTTAATATTTTCACACAGAAACATCTTAACCAACACCTAAGGATATAGTGTGACCTGGCTAGACTTTAAAAATATAAGTATTAAAAGACAGAGAATAATGTATTAAGGAGGCCTCAAGTAATATGGTATCTGGAGTCAAAGGGAAAAGATAGAGCAATAAAAGGAACATCAATTTCACCCAAGCTACTTGCACTGAAATGGACATTGCTTCTTTCTGCTATTGGCCTTTATCACTCACTCCTTGCTAGCAACACCCCCAGATGAAGCCAAGGACACAGCTGAAGTGATAATGGACAGAAAGTGACTGGATGAGCTTCTGATCTTCCCAGGAGGCCACGCGGCTATCTGTAAGACCAGTTTCAGATATCCCATCAGCACTGTTTCAGAGAAAGCCAGCCTCTTAAGGATGAACTAAATAATCATGCTTAACAGCTATAGCCCTTGAAAACACCTTTGTAGGCCCCTCCAAGTGGTCATTTTTTTTCTCCCTCTTCTGAAAATTACAGTAGCTAGTCACCTTTTACATTTACCACACATAGTTTTTGTTTTTTAAAAATTGTATTTATTTATGTATTTGAGAGAGAGAGACAGTGAGAGAGAGAGAGAGAGAGAGAGAGAGAGAGAGAGAAAATGCACTAGTAGAGGAAGGGCAGAGGGAGAGGGAGAAGCAGACTTCCCACTGAGCAGGGTGCCTGAGAATGCAGGGCTCCATCCCAGGACCCTGGGATCATGACCTCAGCCAAAGGCAGATGCTTAACTGACTGAGCCATCCAGGTGCCCTTGTACATTGTTTTTATATTTGTCTTATTTTCCCCTTGGTCAACTCCCTGCAAAGGAACCTGGGTTAGCCTTTGTACCCACTGCAACACCTTACAGGTGCCTTTATCATAAAAGATGCTCAAACATATCTGTGGAATTGGAGAACTGATCAATAGAATTTGACCCCAGGAGGGTCCCATTAAAGTGAAAATATTTGGGATGGTTTAATATGAAACATTCTGCAACTTTGTCTCTCTCTTCCTCATTTTAACTGCAAAAAATTTTAAGAAAATTTTCTTAGTAAAAGTACTATTACATTTCTCTAAGGGTGATATCACTAGATTCTCAATCAAGAAACAAAAGGTTAAAATTTATGCCAAATATGGAAGAAAAGTGATACAGAAAAAAATTAAACTAAAACAATCACTTACCTTGATAAACCATGAGTCATGATATTGTCTTCGAGTGGTGTATTCAGTACCAAATAGTGTTTTACTGTATCATAAGTGGTTAAATCTGGCAATAAAAAGAAAAAGAAGGGTGAAAATATTCATTAATCTGATAATGAATGTCTTTTATTAAAAATATGTTAGTTAAAAATATGTTAGACTTAGGATGGATGCCTGGGTAGCTCAGTCGATTTAGGCTCACACTCTTGATTTTGGCTCAGGTCATGATCTCAGGGTCCTGAGATCAAGCCCTATGTCAGGCTCCTTGCTGAGCATGGAGCTGGCTTAAGATTCTTTCTCTCTCCTTCTCCCTCTGCCCCTCCCATCCCCGTGCTTGCTCCCACACACTCTCTCTCTCAGAAAAAAAAAAAGAAAAAAGTTAGACTTGGGACAGGAATGTGTACAAGAATGAAAGATACCAGTATCATTCTCGAGCCCAGGAAAATGACCTACAGAAGGAGGGGGAAGAAAAGAGGGAGAGAGACAGATACTCAATTATATCATTTGAACATCAGAATCCAGCTATGCCTAAAGTCAGCTCAACCCCAGGAATTCTTACTATTTGAGATGATAAATTCCTTTTTCACTCTTGTTAGATTGAGTTGAAACTCTGTCACTTATAAGTAAAAGGTCCTGACTGTTATTCTACATTAAGCTTTCTGTATTTTTTTCTAACGACAATGAAGAGCTGTTGAAGAGTTTTAAACAGTGATATATTACAACACTGGAGTTTATTATAAAGGCTACCTACAGTGAAGTACAGGAGGTGAATTATAAAGAGGCAAGAATGGATAGCTACATTTGGTCATTCACCAAGTACATGAGTATCTAACATGAGGTAGTAGGCATTATTCTAGGTGCTAAGGAAAGAGCCATGGACAAATTGAACAAAATCCTTATTCTTTGTTAAAGGATGAGACAATAAGCAAACAAGTAAACCACAGCATTTCAGATAGTTGTAATTGCTCTGAAGACAGATAATAAGACAAAGAAAGAGGGATAAGAATATCAGAAGGTAAAGAAGAATGATGTACATGAATTTTAAAGAGGGTGATCAGGAAAGGCTTCTTAATAACCTCTAAATAGAGACCTAAAGGAAACATGAGAAATAAAACCTTGTAGCTATCTATGAGAACCTATCCCAGGAAAAACAGTAGTATGTATTTTATCCCCCGAGGCAAATGTTAGCTCAGTATGTTAGAGGAACAGCAAAAATGCTGGTCTAACAGGAGCAGAGTAAGCAAAGGTCAGAGAAGTAGCAGAGTCCAGAAGACAGAGAACAACAGAAGCCAAGGGAGGATTTTGAGCAGAGCAGTGACTACTCTGGGTTACTATTTACACGGACACTCTCGCTGTTCGGCTGTGACTAGACAACAGGGACACAAGATAGATTAGACATGAGACTATTGCATTTATTCTGATAATAGACGATGGTTTGGATAAAGGAGCTGTGGAACACTGGTCAGATTCTAGATATATTTTGAAGGCAGAATTAACAAACTGAATAGACAGGGAAAGAAAGGAGTCAGAGATGACTATAAGATTTTGAGCTTAAACAGTTTGAAGGGCAGAGCTGCCACTTTTGGAGATAGTGAAAATGAGGATTGACTCATTTAAGATGTTTAAATAAGATGATGGAGTGGTAAATGGAGCAGTTTCTGATGCATGGTGGGATAAAATGGCTCTGGGGTAGACTCTTGGAGGCTTTTGTAGTGATTCAGTAGGAGATGGATAATACTTGGAGTAGCTTCAGGAATGAAAAGAAGTGGATGGATGTGAGACACAGCTAGGAGGCAGAAGTGGCTGGACTTGTTAACTGATTGGCTATAACGAGTGAGTGAAAAGAAAGAGACAAAACTCATGTCTAGGTTTCTGCATTGTTCAAGTGAGATGATATCATATTTTGAGATTGGGAAAATGGAGGAGAAGGAAGTAGTTTGATAAATGAGTTTGGTTTGGACACAAAGTGTTCTATTCAAGATAACCCAAATGAGTGTGCTAAGTAGACAGCTGGAAGCTGGAAAAGAAATCTGAGCTACAACAGATTTTGAAGCATCGAATTGAGAAACTATCATCAATAAAGATTCCTGGTAACTAAAATATCCACTAATATGATACATAGCCATGGATGGACTGAAATAGCAAAACAAAAAAACAGATTTACTTCCTTTGATATGATATGTTACTATAACCCTCAAAAAGGCTATACATTTCCTAGAACCATATAATTTTGGTCTTAGAAACATCCTTTCATTCATTAACTCGTGCATCAAATGTTTACTGACTACATAAGGGACTAGGAAAATAATGATAAATAAAAACTGCCTCAGGGGACTCAATCTAGTGGAGGAGATAGACACACAGAAAAATGCAATGGAATGAAGTACAAGCACCAGGAACTAGAGAAACACATAAAAGGGCATCTAACTAACATGGCCAGGGAAGGGTGGTTATGGGGTTCAGGAAAAATACATGGTGGAGAGACACTTCAGCTGAGTACAAAAAGACCTGCAGAAGGAAACTAAATAGCAGAAGAGGAATGAGGACAGAAAGTATGAGGTGAGGAGCAGCCTGGTATGTGGAGGCAGTGGAACCTAGCTAATGACTATGCTTCACTCTTTACTCCTGAATCAATGAATTGCTTAATTCCCTGAAGGCACTAGTTGGATTGTGCAGACCTTCTATGTTATGTTATAAAATTTCCACTTTCTTCTGTAAGTGATGAGAAGCCAGTAAAAGGTTTTTAAGGGTCCCAGTAATATGCTCAGATCTGTGTTTAAGATAAATCCCTCTGGATACTGGGTATACATTTGAGGACAGAGGATGAGACTACCTGATGGCCTGTGACAGTGCCCTTGCTGTGTGGCTTTGATGGTGAGAATTATAAAAATGACCATTTTAAGGACACCAAGGTGTTAGGTATTGGAGGGGGTACACTTTTAAGAAATATTTATAAGACAGAAGCAATAAGTGACTGACTATGGGACGTGAGGGACAGGATGAGTTTGGGATACGTTCAGATCTCCAGCCTGGGATGCCTGCTATACAAGCTGGATTATAAAGCAATAGGATTTGTAGATTCTGGATATAATGACTGTCACATGGTTACGTATGCCAGTTTGGATCTTAGAGGAGGGTGTGGGTAGACAGGAGATCTTACAAATAGTTTAGTCCTAACTCTTTACTATCACATTTCTTGTTTTATGCAATCCTTTTCACAGATCCATGGAGAAAAGCGAAAATTTTCTAGAGAAAATGTTCAATTAAGGTGTTACAACATGAAAGAAGACTGTTGCCAAGTATATTACTAAAAATAATAAAATAAAATGTTTCATTTTCCCTAAAGTCAGTGCTTATCATTACAATGATGAAGGCAGTTAGGACTTCTCAGAGTTCAATAAAGTTTCCATTACCTCCCATATTCACCAGTGCTGCTCTTTGTATATTGGGTACCCAGCCTGCCCAAAGCCCACGTATTCCTCCTTCAGATAAGATTTTTGCAAATGCATGATTCACACCACGAAATCTAAAGGAAAAATAATAAAGAAATGTGAAAATTTTATGCATTTCTGTGTATGGAATGTGGCTGGATAAACTTCACCTATAGCTGTTATAATTTGGAATAAAATAACATTTAATTATCCAGAATTGTTAGAAATTTTTTAAAAAATCAATCCTCACATATTCTCGTAAGAGAAATGACATTCTTAGTCCAAAGAATAGGGAGAGCAATCTCATAATAGAAGTTCTTAAGATTGAATACTTTTGGCTTTATAAAAATTTACTATCCTATCCTGATTGTAAGCTTTCTGTACTCAAGTTAAAAATGCTGCTGTACCATGATCAAATCTGGAAACCCTGTTATAAAATAATAGTCTTTTTTATGTAGTCAGAAATACCTGAAGTCCAATGCCGCCTTTACCACTTACTAGCTGAGTGGCTTTTACTTAGCCATTATATTCCCTGAGTCTTACCAAAAAGATAATACGACATATTTATTGGGCATGTAAAGCTACAGGGGAAGTTATACTCACAAATGATGGTCATTGTAGTGAAAATCTGTTGTGCACTTATTAAGCTCAAGACTTTTTATATACATAAGATAAATTTTATTCCCAAAAACTCTATGAAGTGTAAATTTACATTCCAATGTCCATCTGAGGAGACTGAATCTTAGAGAGGTTAAGGAGCTTGACTAGGGTCATAGCTAAAATGTGGTAAAGGCTGGATACAAATCCCAGGTTGTCTGTTCCCAAAGCTGATGTTCTTTAAAACAACAGGAAATATTTTTTACTCCTATATCAAACCAAAAATTTCCAACAGTGGAGACAAAGGAACGGGAAAAAATTGACGAGATTAGTTATAAACTCAGATTTTTCTAGATCCCAATAGTTTTCCTCCATATAGGCAACGATGACAACATCACTTCTTCCTGCTTAGTAGTTAATTAGAAGTTGTTACAATATGACAAAATGGGCCCTGATATTCTGTAAACTACTTGGGTAAGTCAGTGGTACCCTGTTCTCCTCTGTGGTGGGTGTTCTCTGTTTGGAGACCTCAGGAGGGGCCTGCACTGCTAAGCCCAACCCCATCTTCTACTGGGCCAACTAGAGCAGCACAATGAAGAGCAGTGGTCAGTGTCAGTGGTGGGTTCCCAAAGGAGGTCCCAAACCCTCCTTCACCTCTGGCCCAGCCACAGACCTGCAGTGTTCAGAGGAGCAGACCTCTTCCTACTCAGCCCAAGGCATTCTGCACTTATCCTCTTTTCTGGGAGATGTCTATCAATCTCTTAAGATGTTGCTCCTTTCCCAGAGAAACAGGCTAAGTGGTATTTTAATAAATTATTGAACATGAAGTCCTTTGAAGAAAGGTAGACTTCAATAATGTAGAGTAATGCAATAGGACAATTTTAAGTCACAAAGGCATAATAAAAACCTTCCTTAAACTTGGGGAAAAGAGGAAGAGTGGGATTAGACAGGGAAGTGGGAAGAACTTGCAAGGTCAATCTTGCCATTTCCCTTCTTTAAGGGATAAAGGGAAAGGAATCTAGCTTTTAGCCAGATGAGCCAGGCAGTCTAATGTCATGCAAACCTTTTGAATGGTCCCTTTTAAAGATGAATAAACAGAGACTAAGAGTACTAAGTGACTTCCACAACACTAAGCTACAGCGGCAAAACTGGGATTCAAACTAGGGCAAATTTTAGTGATTAAACTCTTTATATCAAGCTGTAAGAGGACAAGTCTAGCTGAATCAGCTGGGAAAAGCAGCAGACAGCTATACACACATATATTTTTTTTTTCTGGTAGAGAACACATGTACTTTATCATGCAAAGAAAAGATCCATATTAGCCCTCCTCTTAATGAATACATCTTTTAAGTTGAAAGAGTCAGACTTAATGTCTTTATTGAATGTTGGATCACAAAAATGCATTAAGTTATTAGGTACGTGTTCAAAGTATGATGGGGAAAAGGAGCATATCAGTTAACTGGAGAACTTACCGCAAAGGTTTTCCTTCAAGTTTCCTTTTTCCTTCCATCTGCATCTGAACCTTCACTAGATCAGTTGGGTTGGCTAAAAATTGGCCAACAACACCAGCCATCATACCTCCAATTACTGATTTCCTAATTATAAAAGGAGATACATTTTTTAATAGTTCCTGTTAATTTTACAAATTTTGTAGTGAACAGTACCAGGCTGGTCCAGCCCCAGCACAGGGGATTTAAGACAAAGCAAAGGAAAGGATGGACCCAAGCAAATCACAGAGGAAAGTAAATGTTTCATCTGTTTACTGAAGGGAGGGTTAAAGGACTATGAGGAGTTAAAAATCAAATCTGGTTTCACGGGCCTTCTGTGGCCTGAAATTCAAAGGAAGGGTAGTTGCTTCAAAGTTATAAATACCTGAGCTGATCATTTAATTGTAGTTTAGTTCCAACCACAGGGGAATAAATACAGCATAGATGTAATCAGTCTAACAGAGGAAAGCTGGTAAGTCGGATTTTGTAAACTATTATCTTAGTAGTTTTGCAAAGTAAAAGGGGTTTGAGAACTTTTCTCTCTTTGAAGAAACTCTGTCAATCCCTAGTCTCTTCCTTCTCCTCACCTTCCAAAGCCAATAGTGATCAAGTCTAGACTACTATACTTAAACATGCTTTGAATCCATCCCCTCCTCTCCATTCCAGCTACTTCTGTCTCAAACCAGGCTCTGATCATCTTTTACCTTTTCTTAGAAGAAAAGGGGTATTTTCTTTCCTTTTACTCTAAAACAATATTTGAAGAGGTATACGTGGGTATAGAGTAAAAAGGTCCTTGTTATTAGTTCCCTTCCTCTGAAGCAATCATAATTACTAGTTTCTTATGATTTCCTGCACATAATAATAATGCATCCACTGAATGCTTATTATGTCAGGCGCTGTTTAAGCATTTTTAAAAACACCATTTAATTTTTATATCAACCCTATGACATTAGTACTACTATTATATCCTCTTTACAGATAAGGAAACCAAGGCATAAAGGCAGTTAAATGACAGCTCAAATCACATAACTAGTGAGCGGTACAGCCAAGATATAACACCAGGAAGTCTCAGTGGGGACCACACAGTCTTAAGCACTAAGTTACAATTGATAGTTTGTGTACAAATAAACATACAGGTATAAATACTCCTTTTTAAAAGCATAAATGTAAGGGGTAGCCTGGGTAGCTCAGTTGGCTGAGCTGTCGGCTCTTGATTTCTGCTCCAGTCGTGATCTCAGGGTTGTGGGATCGAGGCCCATGTCCGGCTCCATGCTCAACTCAGGGTCTGTTTGGACTTCTTTCTCTGGCCCTCTGCCTTCCTGTTCCACCCACTTGCTCACTCTCTCTCTCAAATAAATAAATATTTTTTTAAAAAGCACAAATGTAGAATGCCAGGTTGCATACTGTTTGTTCTACACCTTAATTTTTCCCTAATAATATCCTTTAAGTTATATTTCTCCTAGTAATGTATCACAAAAGTTATCAATTAATATACAGCTGCCTCATTCGAAAAAATGCTTTCATAGCATTCCATTTTATGGACACATCACAATTTATTTAGATAGCTTAACTTTTAACTAACTGAACATTTACATGACATTTGATAGGCCCTGCAAATTGTTTTTCATAGAACTTGTAATCAGTTTCCACTGCCACCAGCAGCCTGGTTCTCACAACGATGAACATTAGCACTGTTTTTTCTCTTTGAGAATTTTATAACCACTGCCTCTTTGGCTATTGTGACGTAATTCTAATTGTTTGGCATCTGTCTCTATTACTCTTGCTCAGTGACGGCAGGGACTATCTTCCATTACTATAGCTTCAGTGTTAAGTACAGGACTGGTACACCATGATAATTCAATAAATACCTGAACCGAATGACTGAATGACTGAATTGTTCTGACTGGGTCAAAAGACACCAAGCCGATCTATCCTGAGAGTTGACCTCATAGTGAAATATTTCCTTTGAACCCCTTATCTATCTATACCTTTCTTTTCTGGGGAGGATTACAGAATGCAAAGATTATTAACATATTTCATCACTAATTCTGGGAAAGCAATTAGTATAGCTTCATACATTATAATTTTTTTAAAAAACAGAGCCAAGGGGTTTTGCCTGAAAGATAAAATTCTGCTTATTGTCATTTTCTTATAGTAGTGACTTAGGTATTTTTTTAGTCCAGAAAAGATATTATAGACATCCTTATAGGTTAGTCATATAAAACCTACCTCATCCTTTCAAAGCTGTGTATTATGCTTCCCTGTATAAATATATCAAAACTTATCTATTTCTAAATTGTTAGTTATTTAATTTTTTTTAAAGATTTTATTTATTTATTCATGAGAGACAGAGAGAGAGAGAGAGAGGCAGAGACACATGCAGAGGGAGAAGCAGGCTCATGCAGGGAGCCCAACGTGGGACTTGATCCCAGGACTCCAGGATCACACCCTGGGCCAAAGGCAGGAGCTAAACTGCTGAGCCACCCAGGGATCCCAGTTATTTAATTTTTTTTTTAATTATAATTAACACCACTACAGTCAATATCTGTGTGTCTCTGTGTTTATACATAGGTACAAGTATTTTTGAATATGATTATTTCATAAAGGAAGAATTTCTGGGTCAAAAGAGTACACATTTAAACATTTTAACAGGGATCCCTGGGTGGCGCAGTGGTTTGGTGCCTGCCTTTGGCCCAGGGCGCGATCCTGGAGACCCGGGATCGAATCCCACGTTGGGCTCCCAGTGCATGGAGCCTGCTTTTCCCTCTGCCTGTGTCTCTGCCTCTCTCTCTCTCTCCGTGACTATCATAAATAAATAAAAATTAAAAAAAATTCTAAAAAAAAAAAATAAAAAATAAACATTTTAACAGATACTCTATTCTTCAAAAAGGCTATATAGAATAACTTACATTCCTGTTGATAGTTTACTGGCTAAAAGATAGCTTTAATTAAATTTCCCTGACTATTGGTGAAGTTGAACATTTTTATATATTTAATGAACATTATATTTTTTCTTTTGTGAATTTTGTCTGTTGATATCCTTTCCCTATTTTTCTTTGTGTTTTTAAAATATATTTTTAATTTATTTGTAAGATTTCTTTGTAAATTATTTATAATCTAGTTTTCTTTTTCTGTTATAAATATTGTGATATGCATGCACATTCATTATCTCATCTAATCCTACAAAAACAAAAGCCTGATGGTAGATATTACTTCCACAGCTAAGAAAACTGAAGATCAAAATGGTAAAGTAGTTTACCCAGATTATACACATACTAGTAGAACAAGAATTTGAGCCTATCTCTGTGTGACTCAAAGTTCTTCTTTGGCATAAAGAAGGTGCTCTGTAAGAATTATTTTAATATTAAAATGTTACATAATATATATAAAAAATTTTTATACATATGAACATGTATGTTTATGTACACTGTGCAGTAAATGCTCCCTTATTTGGATTTACATTGTAATTATTTATTATTTTAAGCCTTTAGCTTGAGGCAATTTTGGCACAAATACACGATTTTATACAAATCTAATGGATAAACAATAGAGTCTTAGGGTCAAAAGTATGTATTATTTTCAAAACAAAACTTACCAAAGGGGATAATGCTTATCTTCACTTTTGCCAAATACAACTTCACGAAGATGTTCATATGTGACCATGCGACCTCCAGAGTACACTGTGTAGAATGGATCATTTAAAAGGTAAATTCAGCTATATGTTTAATAAAACAAGAGGTTATTTTGACCTGGGCCAGTCAAGCTCCCTGTGCTGTTCTCTCACGTGGCCTATGCTTCCAACATGCAGGCTTTGCTTGATGTTTCTCTAAATATGCCAGGTCTTTTTAAGCCTCAGGCCTTCTCACATGCTATCTGATCTTTCTGGAATGGATTCAACCTTTTCTGTTTTACCAACTCCTCCTTGTCCTCCCAGGCTCAATTCAAAGAATGTGTTTTCTAAAAAGTGCTCTCTGACCTCCAGTGTTCTAGACTGCCACTATACCTGCCATGCTTCTCTGTTCCCCCAGAACTACCCAGGTGTACATTTAATATGACATTTATCACATTAATTGGAGATTAACTTGACTTTGTTGCTCATCTTTCCTGCAAACTACGAGCTTTTCAGGGCAGGCTTTGTATGTTTTCACTACTGTATGGGTCTTTTGTACCATCACCCTACAGAGCTTGGTACACAGCAGGCATTTCTATTTAATAAGCATGCATAACTTCACTGGATACTTTATTATATTCAGATAATTTTTCAGTCAGCTGTCAAACATATGATATGAATCTTAATTGTGAAGTCATAGATGATGGTCAATAAAATGCAAATGAAAAATGAAACTCAATAATGGGGAGCAAAGGAGAACACATTTTTTAAAAAGATTGGAAAATAAAAGTCATTAAAATCAGTACACGGTATTCCTAGAGAGTCCTTTTCTTGTTATTTCAGTAAGCTTGATAAAATATGTTAACATATTCAAAAATATACAAAGCACCAAAACAACAACAGTCTCTATACACACTTCTGGATTGCTCTTCATGAATACGTATCTAAAGAACAGAAGTTTTAAAAATAATAAGCTGGTATTAGAACTGGACACCTTTCTGGTCAAAGGTTCCTACACACTTGGGGAAAGAGCATGAATGTAGAGAAGAATGCTGCACCTGCCCTACCTCCTATTGAAGCCAAGTTTATCTTCTCCTCTCCACAAACTGAAAACCCAACGACTATCTTCGTGAATGCCATTTTAGAAGCAGAGCAGAAAAGTATTCTCACTGGCTAAGGCACAGTTACAACTATTTCCCTTTAACAGTGACTAAAGGCCTACATAGGTAGTTAGGTAGCCTTGGGAACTGAGGCAAAAATCAACAGTGACTAAAGGCCCACATTAGGTAGTTAGGTAGCCTTAGGAACTGGGGCAAAAATCACTACAATCACTCAATTGCCAGAATTGGATCAGTCGTCCCTGTTCTCTTTCAGAGTTGCCTAGTCTGTAGTGTATGGGACAGAGACTAGTGAGATTTAGCATGTTAGTCAAATATGTTTTAATTTTCAAAGAACATGAAAAATTTAAATTTTGTTTTAAAGTCTCTAAAATAGAGAAAAATATCAATGACTTTTTTATCTTAAAAATCTTCAAACATGCAGAGAAGCAGAGAAAATAACTCCCTCTATATCCTTGAGATTTATCAATTGCTAACATTTTTGCCATATTTGATTTTTTTTGCTTTATTATTTTGAAGTACATTACAGACATCATGACAGTTCATCCCTAAATACTTCTATATGCATTTCTAAAAATTTAAGGCAATCATTCCTTAATAATGATTGGTGGTTAATTTTCTTAAGAGAATACATATTCATTTATCACATTAGTAGGAAAAAACAACTGGGTTTTGGCACAGCTAAACACAAAAGCAGAGGACACAAACATAGAACTCATAACAAACTTACCAGCTAGAATCAAGATAAATACCTATGTGTCTGTAAATGGCAGGTGTCACTCCTTGCCAAAGCTTTAGAAAGCCTTCTTCTTGAACAATCCCTAGGGCTGTGCGCACCATGCCCCTATAGGGAGCAGATTCTCTTGCACTGTCTCCCAACCGAGCAAGGGCAGCTTCTCCTTGCATTTGGAGTCGAGTTTTTGTGAGATCGAGGGGAAAGGTTGCTAACAAAAAAAAAAACAAAATGAGGGGGAAACCCATAACATTCAGAGAAACAAACAAAAATCATAAAATTCTAAAGTCACAGGACAAATATTTTAGTCGCCACAGGATCAGTGTTTCTCAAATTTTAGAATACATCAGAAACAGCTAGGGAAATTGTTAAAATGGTTTATTTCCTAGCCCCATGCCTATGGATTCTGAATAGATTGATGGGGGTTTAGAAATTGGTTGATTCTTATGCACTCCCAAATTTAAGAATCACTGTTCCAGAGCACCATCCCTCCCCAACCCCTCCAATCAGGAAAAAAAAAAGTCACAAGACTTGGGTTCTTTTTACTCAGAAATTTCAGCCTAAAATCTACTTTAGTCCTTAATTTTTGCTTTCCAATGGGAATAATTTCAGATATCCATATTCTATGATGCCCCCTTGACTGTAACCATGATTGAGACCCAGTGTGACTTTTAGAATACTGTATTATTTCTGACAGGTTCATATTAAATGCAGGTGAAGATGAATTCTGTAATTTCATGGGTGATGTTCACTGACCTGAGATTTGAGATATAGGAGATGCAATATTGAGTTTATAATGTCTTTTTATACAAGGGTGTCAAGCCCAATACACTTTCAGTTAAGGCACATACTGAGTTGTTTTTCCAGTACTAACTTTTATGTGTAGTCTTTTCATGAGTACCAATTGTACTTGAAAAATCTTTTTCTAATGATTATATTTTGAATTCAAAGTAGACATCTTACTCTGAAATGGTGAAGCTAACTGGCCCACATTAGGAAGATCAAGCTCATAACTTTATACCCGTATGTCCCAAGTAAGTGAAGTAACCAGATTCAGAGAAATTCATGAACACTACTGACATTACATGAGTCTTTTCAATGACCACCGCCTGATACAAAATCGTACTTACGCTTTTTTCCAAGAGAAAACAGAGTAGGGGGAAGAAAATATTAAATGTTACCACTGGTCTTTGGAAAAAATATCTTGCTGATAGTCCCCCTAAAATGGAAGTAGTTTGCACGTAGAGAATTTAAACAACGATTTATTAACATATGAACCCTGAAAAGTCTTAAGATAAAGGTGCCTCTATATTAACATGGTTTATGTCTTTCAAAATAAGTCTGGTTTACTTGCTGGTTACTTAAATAATGCTTCAGGTTCTGATCCTAAATTGTTTTGTAATCAAGACCATCTCAAATTTTTATTTCCTCGCTTCCCATCCCCAGCCCCCACACCATTCTCCACAAACTTTGAAGAGAAGGAATGTTTCTTTGCCATTGGTCACAGGAAGAAACAATCAGGATCAAAAAAAGAAGGAAGGAAGGAAGGAAGGAAGGAAGGAAGGAAGGAAGGAAGGAAGGAAAGAAAGAGAGTTGGAAATATCTAATTCTGCAATCTGATTTTAAATTTTTTTAAAAAGTTGGTGAACTGTATTTCAGTAAAAACAAAAATTTCCCATCAGCTTGAGAAGAGAAAGAGAAAACAGAGGGTCCAAAGAGCAAGAGTGGAGGAGCACAAAGGGCAAATTAACAGATCGCGTGCTGGCTCTGCTGGAAATAGAAAATAAATTCATTTTAGATGGGGACAAACTAACATTTCCTAATGATAACACAGCAAAGCTGTCGCTTGTTTTGTTTTCCAACAGGCAAGACAATGAAAGGCTAATCTTAAAATGCACAGTGAAGGCTTCACAGGGAACACACGGGCACTCTGCTCACAAAATCATTGAAGGAACGCCAGCTGCTCATGCAAGGGCATCATAATCTTCCCTAGGTGGCCTCCGGTTTTCCGATTTGCTCGGCATATGTAACCGTCCGTCCTCTATGTTCTTAGGATCCTTAATACCTTCATCATAAGCAGCACAATGTAACTGCCTGTCTCTGCATGTCTGCCCACCTAGCTGTAAGAAAGGTCAGGGCCGAGTCTCATTAAGCACCATCATCACAGCCTAATATTATAGTAATTACAATAATGCTGCAATTAATGGGTGCCCCGCCTTGGAGTTCGCATTTATATAGTTTCTACTTCTCAGAATCCTGCAAGGTAGACGCGGTATAGATGAGTTACGCCCAAGGAGGACAACTGGCAGATGTTGAGTGGATGCTCGGTAAGTGACAGACAGGTTGACAATGTCAAGCCCCGCAAGTCTACAAAAGACAATGATACGGCGCGGCTACGTGGGAATATAAATCAGAGACATTATCTCAATAAGGAGGAACGGTGGGTTGTGTTTCTTAAAAGGTCATCCCCACGGAAGGGGAAAGGATTCCTAGGGAGGAATGACAGCTCCTGAAGCTCCCAAGCGCGGACCTTCGGGCGCAAGAGCACACCTCTGAGGGAGACGAAATCGGAAGGAAAAGACCTTAGTGACCTCCCGCGCCTCCTCCTCGCAAAGCCGGCCCCGTCCCCGCCCTGCCACCTCCGCCGGGCAGGTGAGCGAGGAGAGGGCGCGACGCAGCGGGCCACACACCCCGGGGGCCGGAGCCGCCCGCCCGCGCCCTCCCCCCCCCGCCCGCCTCCCCCCCCCCCCCAGCGCGGCACCTCGACGGCGAGTCGCGGGGGAGGTCCGGGAGGGGGCGGCCGGGTACCTAGCTCGGCCACGGTAGCCGCGCAGCCCGACAGAAGGAACTTGCTCGCTCGGGGCCATCTCTGGGCGAGCGGCAAAAGCCTCTCCTCCTCCTCTGGAACCGACATTCAGCAGCAAGACGGGACGACAATACACCCCCTTACGACCGGCCTGCCACTCTGCCAGGGCGGCCCGTTCTCAACCCGCGAGTGGCGGAGCGGGGACCATTTCCCTCGCTCGGCTCAGCCAGGCGGCTCCGCGAAACCTACAGCCTTCCGAGCAGCCCCGGGATGGAGAGGTGCCCGGGACTGAGAGCAGAACAACAACGCGAGGCCCGGGGGCTTCTGGGAAATGTAGTCCGCCGGGCCGCGCGCCTCTTGGGCGCCGTTCTCTGATTGGCCGCGAGGGAGGCTCCCCTCGGCGCCGCCAGCCCCGGTCTCCATGGCAACAGAGCACGTTCCCCCCGCCTCCCCCCCCTCCTCCGCGCCCGCCGCGGTTGGGTCCAGCCGCTGCGTTCGGTCCGGCGTGGCCGGCTCTGCAAAGACTGGCGGAGGTGGGAGGGGGGAGCGATGATGCAGAAGTCATCTAAAAATTGGGGCGGGGAAAGGAGGCTACAGTCAGGGAGGCAAACAAACTGCGGAAGTTGTAGCCGACGAGTTGGGAGGTCCCGTAGTGCCCCCTCCCAACGGGGAATGAGCAAGTGCCACGGCGGCAGGACTTTTCCCTTCTCTGATTCTGGAAGGTGCTAGACGGAAACATGGAACTGATTTCCCCGACCGTGATTATCATTCTAGGTTGTGTTGCTCTTTTACTGTTCCTTCAGCGGAAGAATTTGCGGGGACCCCCGTGCATAAGGGGCTGGATTCCTTGGATTGGAGCTGGATTTGAGTTTGGGAAAGCCCCTCTAGAATTTATAGAGAAAGCAAGAATCAAGGTATGTGGCCTTAGTAGGTGGGCTTTCCGGAGGAGGTAATGTTTTCTTTTTTCTTTTTTCTTTTTTTTCTTTTTTTCTTTTTGATCTTTAATTGCATCTCAAATGCAACATTAACACCCGGGAACATACCCGCTGTCCATACTTAGAGCCAATCATTCCTCAGCTATCTACGGTTTTACCTTATGCAAGTTTTTTCGAAAGACATAGATTTTTATTGATTATGAACAGATTTTTATCAGCTTGTAGCTGCCTCTCTGGAAGTAGATCTTAATTTATAAATGCCAGTTGCTTCATCCTAAGGGTACACACATTAACTAAACATTCGTAATAGTTCAGAAAGAAGTGAAATACGGTTAAATTTATGAAAACGTGTAGTAAATTAGTATCCGAATTGAAGTTAACACCAAGTTGCCGTAAAAATTGCCTGCAGACTTAACTCTGCAAATCTAGCCAGGCACTGTATTTTCAGCTGGTGTTATTATTTGATGATGATGAGATCCATTTTCACTGCATACTAAAGAGATTAGTGATGGTGTTGTAGTAGATTTTTTTTGGGGGGGAGGGCCTGAAAATAGCTTTCAAATACAGTGTATCTTTCAAAAATAGTATGTAAGTTACTGCCAACTATTTTCCTTTATTTCAACGAATGCTTTGACTTACGTTCCTCTGTGTGTGTTGTGTGATTGTGGCTTGGGCACTTAACCAATTGTTTCCTCAGAGTAAATTCCAAAAAGTGGAGTTGCCTACTCCGATGACCTGAACATTTAAATTGTTCATATTATTATGTTACCCTTGCAAAAGAATATAGCAATATACACCTTTTCCTTTGAGTGTACGGGATTGCCTAGCTCCTCATATTCTGGCCCGCACTTGGTGCCATAATTATTGGGAATCTGGTATAGGAAAAATGATATCTTTTAAGAAATATTTGTTTCCCATAGGCTTCCTTAGTCATGATTTTGATAAACTTTAAGGAACTTTTTTAAAAGCTTGTCTCAGAAGGTCAAGCAAGGTCAAAAAGATTATTCTGTTTTCTTCTAAAAGGTTTGTATTTTCCCATTTTACATTTAGATCTGTGATCCATTTTGAGCTAAAAAAAATATTTTTTTTTGGTATGGTAAAAGGAAGGGGTAAGGTTGATTTTTTTTCACATCTGGATGTACAGTTGTTCCAACATCATATCCTGAAGGACTGTCCTTTCCTCATTGATCACCTATGGTTAAATTAGTTAACCATATACATGTAAATCTATTTCTAGCCTTTCTCCCCCAGTCCATTGATTTATATGCCCACTTCTTTATTAAACTACACTGCCTTAAATACTCTAGTTTTAGAGTAAGTCTTTAAATCAGGCAGTGAAAGTTCTCCATATTCCTCTGTAATTGATTCGCCATTCAAGATTATTTGCATTTTACTATGTTTTAAAACTGGCTTGTTGCTATCTTTCATAAAGACTGCTAGAATTATGATGGGAAGTTTATTAAATCTATCGAGAATTTAGAGGAGAATGGACTTCATAACAATAGTAAGTCTTCAAATCTATGAATGCTGTGTATCTCTTCGTTTATTTAGCTATATAATTTCTTTCAGAAGTGCTCTGTAGTTTTTGTGATGCGGTCTTGCTTCCAGTTGTTAATTATTTTATATTTGGAGGCTGTTGTAGATAAAATTGCTTTTACTTTTGTTTTCTGGTTGTATCCTGTTGAAACAAAAAATACAGTCAGTTTTCTGTATATGAACTTTATGCCTTGTGATTTACTAAATTCACTTTATTAGTCCTACTTGTTACTTTGGGGATTCTTTAGGGTTTTTATACATAAACAATGTGTCTTATAAACAGATAAATCTACTTCATTTTTTCTTATTTTTATTTATGCTTTTTATTTCTTTTCCTGCATTATTATAATCAGTAGGATTTCTAACATATTATTGAACAGAAGTGGTGAGAGGAGATAAGTTTGTCTTTTTCCTAATATTAGGGGAAATTGTCCAGTATTTCACCACTGAGTGTAATAATAGTTGTAGATTTTTCAGAGGTGCCTATTTCAGTCCTGACCTTCAACCCAAACGCAGAATTCACAGATGCCACCAGAGAAATAGTGACTTATTATCTGTTCACATCCATTGTTTCCTAGCTACCAGTAAAATCCTCATCTCACCTGGTTCTGCCTCTTCCTATATAGAAATAGAAGCATCTGTTTTAAAAGCTGCAAAGTATTCTCTGAATCATAGTTTACCCAAACAGTGACTTAATGATTGACCTAGTACCTAGTATGCTAGTATGTTTACCCTATTGTGCTTTTATAAATACTGTAGGAACAAGTGTTATTTCTTTGTTTGAAAATGTATCTACAGAATGAATTATCAGATTCAAAGTCTGAATGCATTTATAATTTAGAGCGAAACAGGAAACCTTTTGAATGTTTTGACCAAGAGTAATGGGATCTGATTTAAATCATAAAGGTTCACTTTGGCTTCTCTGTTTAAAACAGGAATGCAAGAATAAAAGGAAGAAGATAATTTGAAGGTTATTGCAATAATTCAAACTTGAGATCATTGTGGTTTGGACCATGGTGATGGCAGTGGAAATTTGAGAAGTGGCTGGATATATTTTGAAGGTAGAAGCAGCAGGATTTACACACCAGTTGCTTTTGATGTATAAAAGAATGAAAAAGGTCCAAGATGACTGCAAGAAGTTTGGCTTGAGCAGCTAGAAAATGGGAGTTGCCATCAAGTGAGACCGTCACAAATATAAGAACTTATTGGAAGGGGAAAAGTTATCAGAAGTGCAGCTTTAGCTAGGTTGAGTTTGATAAAAAATAAAAAATAACGTAAAAGATAAAAATTTAAAAAATTAAAAGGAAAGGATCTGTTGAGATATGTTGGTGTTTGGTATGTCGATATCCAAGCGGGAATACTGAATTCAGCACCTGGGTAAATAAATTTGGAGTTTGCCAAAGACGTCCAGTGATGCATAGTTTCAGCCTCTTTTACCTATCTTCTATAGGTGTCATTTCCCCTGAAATTCTTTTCACATATTTATTTCTATTTAATGATTTTAAAAATTTTTTCACATTTCTATATTCTCTTTTCCTTAGAGTCTATTTTCTGTGGGTTGTAGACTCCCTTGTGCTTCTTGTCATTGTTATCTTTTTTTTAAAGATTTTATTTATTCATTTGAGAGAGAGAGCATGGGGGGAAGGAAAGAGAATTAGACTCCCCACTGAATGTGAAGCCCAGTGAGGTGCAAAGCTTGATCCCAGGACCCCAAGATCACGCCCTGACCTGAAACCAAGTCTGGTGCTTAACCAGCTAAGCCACCCAGGCACCCCAGTCATTGTTATCATTTATTCAGAAATGTCGTTACTGTTTCTTTCTTTCTTGTGTTCCTTTATCTCCTAATTTTCCTCTGTTGTCCAGCTGCTTCTTCCATGGCTTCTTATATTTCTTCTTTGCTTATTTCCTTTGCAGTTGCAATTAGTACGTTAATTTTTTTTCATTATGAAAAAAAATGAAAGTAATTTTGCATTACAGGTTTCATGTACCCTATGGCAGAATGTTTTTGGTGAGTTATTTCATTTGTAAGCAAGTTCTGCTCTTCCCCCCCCCCCCTTTTTCTTTTTTTAAGAATTTTTCTTACAGAATTGAATTTTTCCTTTTTTGTTTAACTATATTTTAAGGAGTTGAGTTGTCTTGGACTAGCTATCAGCAGGAGATTTTGCTTCGGGGCAGTTGCTTTCCAGGTTTCTTGACTTAGTCTTTTTTTTTTTTTTTTAAGATTTTATTTATTTATTCATGACAGACAGAGAGAGAGAGAGAGAGGCAGAGACACGGGCAGAGGGAGAAGCAGGCTCCATGCAGGGACCCTGACGTGGGACTCGATCCCTGGTCTCCAGGATCACACCCTGGGCCGAAGGCGGCGCCAAACCGCAGGGCCATCCAGGCTGCCCTTGACTTAGTCTTTTATCCTACCTTATGACAGTGAAAATATAGTGCCTCTGTGCACCCATGGCTGCTTTGCTTTTTAGTATATAATCTTGCAGACGAGTTCTCACTGACTTTCTTCAATAGCTGCTGCTAGTATAAGAGGTGACCTGTGTCTTCCCAGGTGTACTCTTCACTTTTAGAAGATAGTGCTTCCTGTGTTATCTTTTACTACCTCCCTCAGTACCCACGGCCTGTTTATCTTAGTACATCTCATAGTGGTTCCAACTCTGTGTATTTCCTTCTCATATCTCAAGAGTGTGTATTTCCGAGCTTTTCCATTGTTGAACCTCCCCTCCCTGTGGTGCACCGCCCTGCCCCCTACTGCACATTCCTGTTTTCTTTCCCACCATGCTGTGATAGCTTCTAAGAGCAGAACTGAGAGTTTTGCAGGTATAAGGTAC